TTAGCATATTCGCACAAAAAATAGTGAAAAACAAAACTATAGAGAACAGTCATTATATTTTCCTTTGCAAAATATACTCGCTCTCCTAAAATATATAAGGTATTTTTAATCTAATCTTACTCTCGATAAATTATTTAATTGTCTTTAACCTAACATCATCTTTTTTATATTATCCTTATTTAATAGAGTGTTTCATTTAAAAATAAATACAAAATAATTTAATTATTAAAAATATTTTTAAAAAATACATTAATTATATTTTAAAATATGAAAAAGGGAGAATCTCACTTAAGGCCTCTGTAGCACAAAATTTTGCATTTAGATCCTAATACAATCTCAAAAATTTTTGCAAGCCAAGAGCCTTAAGCGGAAATATATTTTAATAAAAAAAGATGCATTTGCCCCTGGACATTTTGTTGTCAATTATAGGACCATGTGTTGAGAAAGACATCGTATTGTGCATTCATTGATATTTTATTATTCTTTTATTCTGCGCAACTTGTACATTTCAAGTTAAATTATTTCTACTCAATCAATTGTACATTAAAGGACATTGTGTTGAGATTTTATGCACACCGCATTGTGTATTCATGAACATCTGTTGTTTTTTATCCTATGCAACTTGTACATTTCAAGTTAAACCATTTTTACTAAACTAATTATACATTATAGGACATTATGTTGAGAATTTATTGAATATTGTATTGTGTATTTAAGGAGAAAGGGAGGGCACATTCGACTATCTCATTAAAATATATTTTTACTTGAGACTCTTTGGCCTATAGAGAGTTTTCAAATTGTATTGAACATTTAATGTAAATTTCTATGCTCTAAGGTTTTAAGTGAATTCTTTCTATTAAAAATGTCTTATATTTTTTAAGGTAAAGGACAAAAATACCCACAAAGTGGTCAGCCGAAAGTACCCAATATCCTAAAATGAGGAAAAGAGCAAAAATACCATAACGTAATATGAATGGGTGTAAAAGTAACCAAACCATTAATTTTGACCTAATACGGTTAATTTTGACTATTAAATGTTGATTGTGCATGCCATATGCCAGTTTTTGCTGGCGTGGACTAATAAAGAGACAAAAATACCCATAAAATCGTCATCCAGAAGCAAAAATACCCCATAACATTACCAGAGTTGGTGCAAAAGTTATCAATCTATTAAATCCCTTAAATGTTAATTGTTTAGCTGATATATAAGCAAAAGTTGACTATTTTTTCACTGATGTAGACAAAAAATATTTCCAAATGAATTTTTATAAATGTTAATCAACTATCATATAAGTACCTATAATATTACTTTAGTAGATATAATAATAATCAATCCGTCAAAATACATGCCATATGGTTTATTTCTATCACCACGTATCTCGCCCTCTTCCTTCCTCCCTCTCTACTGATTTTTCTTGTCTGCAAAACTTGAAATTCAACATAGTGAAATATGTTACTCCTCTGATCCAGTATATAAGTCACTTTCTAAAAACATAATCTGATCCACTCTATAAGTCGTTTGTTGATGGGATTATTTTGTTTCAAATTAAAATTCTCAAATTACCCTTAAAACGTAAAAAAAGAAAGACAGAAAAAATAATATTATATGATTGACTTGCTTTTTGCTTTTTACTTGAGGGTTATGTTTGAAATTTCACTTATTTTTATTTCTTATACTTTTATTGTATTGGTATTGATGAGATTGGTAGAAATAACTTATAAATAAGATCAGAGGGAGTATATACAATCAAAAATCAAGACTGAGCACACCACCTACGCCACCCTACCTTAAAAACATTATCACAACCTTAAGCAATTTCATTCATGATAGGTTCAAAATTTTTCAATGATTTTCTCCACTACTGTAAAAAAACAAGTAATTTAATTTGATATTTGTCAAAATGACATTTTCTTACATGATATTCATACAATGACTAATTAAGTTCTACAGAATTTCATTTAGGAATTTTTTTCAATCCATGACAGTGAAAAAATAGTAAACCTCTACTTAAATGTCTGCTAAATGATCAACGTTTAAAGAATTTGACGGATTTGTCACTTTTACACCAACTCTGATAAGATTATGGATATTTTTATTCTTAGCTGATAATTTCGTGAGTATTTTTACCTTATTACTAGTTCACGTTAGTAAAGAATGACACGTAACATGAGTAATCAATATTTAATGGTTAAAGTTAACAACGTTATGTTAAAGTTAACGATTTGATCACTTTTATGCCCATTCATATAACATTATGAGTATTTTTATTATTTTTTTATTTTAAAATACTGAGTGTTTGATTGATCACTTTATAAGTATTTTTATTTTTTTATCATATTTTTTAACATGTAATCCGTTCAAAAAAGTACTGCACGGTTTAACTGAGTGAGTAATAATTATTCTGAAATTCGATGGGACTTCTTGATAAATCCGCGAATGCAATTGAAAGGGGCAACCGACAAAAAAAGCGTCACCAAGCTGGTGAGCTACTAGAGCTGGTTCATCGTCAAGGCTTGCAGATAAGCCTCCCCTTTGAAATAACCCAAATCCTCTCCATTTCTGAGTCTCCTTCCATGGCTGCATCTTCTGCGGCGCTCAATTCCCTCTCCTCTCTCTCCCTAACCTCTTCTTCTCGCTTCTCTATCCTCCCCACCTCCAAATTCACCTTCTCTCTCCTCCCCAAAACCCCATGCCCATTTCTCTCTACCTCCTCATCCCCCATTTTCCCCAAACCCAAATCCAAGTCCTCTGATGATGTCGACACCTCCTTCTTTGACAATGTAAGACCCGAAGAAGACGTTGCTTTCAACCCCCCGGAACCTCCCGAAGGCTTCATCCCCCTCCTCCCGTCGACGACGGTCCCGTCGAGACCGAAGAGGAAATAGCCTCCGCTTATGAGGAGCTGTATGGGCCTGCATACAGTGGTGTCTCTGTTCTCGGCAACGATGTGTATGTAATGGACTCTAAGATGAAAAAAGACACTGGATTTGGCTCCAAGGGGAAAAAAGAGAAGGTTAAGGATGGATTTGAAGAAAGGGTAGTGCAGGTCAGAAGGGTGACCAAAGTTGTAAAAGGAGGGAAGCAGTTGCACTTCAGGGCAATTGTGGTTGTGGGCGACAAGAAAGGCCAAGTGGGTGTGGGAGTTGGCAAAGCAAAGGAGGTTATAGGAGCAGTTCAGAAATCTGCTGTCAATGCAAGGCGGAATATCATTACAGTGCCTATGACTAAGTACCTCACTTTCCCTCATAGGTACGGTTGATTAATTTTCCTCCATTCTTGTCCTTCTTAAACACCTTGATTTGTATGGTGTTAGAGGCTTACAATGGCTATCTTTGAATAATGATGATTGATTTTGTATAATCACTGATTAGTATAAGTATATGTAAACTCGATTATCTCCAAGGTGTGCTCGAAAGACTATGGCAAAGTGCTCTGTTTTTGTAAAATGCTTGCTGAATTTTAAAATGAGTGCGCCGAACTTTGGGAATACTTGACCTCACCATGTCTGTATGCTGGAATTTCTGTATGGACAATTTGATTAAGTTTGTTCAGTAAATGCGAGTAATTCTGGCGTGAAGTGGAGCGTAGAGATTGCTGTCTCAGCCAGCCAGACTAAAAATGAGCTCCCAAACTTGTTTAAATGTCATAGTTGCTCTCATGCAAGCTGAATAATTGGCCAGTAACCGTCATATAGTTTCCACATATTGTAATGGATGGACATATATCTCACTCTTTTGCATTTTAAGAAAATTTGTTTCATGTTTTGTCAGGAAGAAAGTGTTCCATCTTATTAGGATATGATACTAAAAGCAACAATTTGAAGGAGATTAGGTACATTCAGTTGCATAAAGCTGAAATTTAAATGGTTCCAGCTGAGGCTGACATAGGAAAGACACGTCCAAACCTGCTAAAATTCTGGGTGCCTAATTGTAACTGGGCAAAAATTTGAAAAATGGTGGTCTTATGAGGGTGGCTTATTTCATGCTTCCGGATTGTTCTGTATAAAGCTAAAGTTTACTTTTCATAACTCATCCTCATGTCTGAATTTCTGCTTGAATCTATGTGTATAGAAGCTTATTGGGTTCCTTAGTCGATCTTAGCAACCATTTGGCAGTCTACGGAAAAATGGATAGTTGTGAATAGTAGCTCTGTATAAGCATATAGTTTGATACCATGAGTTATAAAGCTTATTAATGACTATGACATTCAGTGATCAGGTTGTTTGACTTCTCGTTCTAGGAAGCTAGCATATTATGTGTGTAGTTGCCTCTTGTAATTTGAACAAGTAAAATGCTTTTTTCAGATCTGAGGGAGACTATGGAGCTGCAAAGGTGATGCTTAGACCTGCTTCACCTGGTACTGGAGTTATTGCAGGTGGGTCTGTGAGAATTGTTCTAGAAATGGCAGGTGTTGAGAATGCTTTGGGAAAGCAACTAGGGAGCAATAATGCCCTCAACAATGCCAGAGCAACAGTTGTTGCTGTGCAGAAAATGAGGCAGTTCCGCCAAGTTGCTGAGGAGAGAGGTATCCCAATGGAAGAACTATGGAAGTAATCGAATTCATGAAGTTGCCATTCTATGTGATTTTTATTACATCCATCTGTGATATAGAAAGTGGAAAATTGAACCTTTTTTTGTTGTGAAGTTCTCTAGGATTAATTGTTTTATGGAGAAAAGAAAAAGAAAGCTACTTGTTCAACTTGTATGAAAATTCGAGCTATTTCATGATTGCCTTCTGGCGTATTTAAGAATTCACTTCTGCATCACCTGAATTTGTTCGCCTATTCCCTGATGGGTCGTCCTCAAACATTCGATGCTTGTTAGAATTGTAAAAACTACACATAGGATATGGAGTGGTACTTCATCAATTTTCACCAGAAATATATGTTCTTTGATACCTGAAGAATTGCATCTGAGGGTTATTTTTCACCTTTAAGCAGACACACAAATTTCTTGAAATTTTAGGGTTTTTTTTTTTTTTTTTTAAAGGAGGGTTGGGGTTGGTCTGGGAATCACAAAACTTCCTTGAGAACAAGGTCAAGCCCATCCATTTAATTTATGGGTTGGCATCAGTACAAAAATCCCATATACTTTTCTCTATTATGTTGCAAGTAATATGCCCTTTTTTATATGCGATGTCCCCAAAGGGATCTTCAACGAATTCTAAGATATGCAGGAGGAAATTAATTCCTACTTTACCTTACCTGAAGGCTTAAAGTTTCGCAAATTGACACATTGTACAGAGAACTTATTTCCAAAGTTTCACAGTATGATCATGGCTAGCAGAGGCAACCATCTGATTTTCAGGTGAAGCTCCTAGTCCCGCGATTACTTCTTTGTGAGCAGGATGAGTCCATATTTTGCAGCCCTCGGTTGGAATCCAAAACTCCAGGGACTGCAGTAATACGTAAAAAATGTCTCATCAGAAGGTATTCCATTTCTGCATAAAGAATTTTTTCGGAGGAAATGCATTTTCTTATTCTCAAAGTGGTACAGGTCTAGGATCATTTTATTCATCTTATTTCTAAGCAGTGTAATATGTGTAAGTTTGACTCAGCTCATCAATCTCCCATCAGGTAAAAACAAAACAAACAAAGCAAATATTAGATAAATTGGCTTATTGGCTGAAAAATTTTTGTACTTAGAAAATATGGATCAAATTTTAAAAAATTTGAGAATATGACTGGTTCACATTAGTATATAAAAAGTTTATCAATGAAAATTTAAAAATTTATAAGAGATTTATCGTTAATATACAGTGGCATATTATTAACAAATATAATAAATCGGTCATAATAAAAAATATACTAAATGTTAGATTGTTTGTTTGATTTAATTTTATAATATGAGTTATATCTATAAAAGTCCCATGTTCTAGAAACCAAATAGAAAACTATGATAAAAAGCACAGACCAAAGAGATGAAGGATATCTTTCAACGATTACATTTCCTTGTTCTTTTAATATAAACAAAGCCAAGCTAGATTACTATGCCATCATGATCTTCTGCCACAGAAGCCATATAATCAATCCCAAGTCAACATTGGATATTTCAACATATATTTTAGAATCTCAGGCTCTGCTATCAAAATAAGCAGTTTAAAACTCATTTTGCTCACCCGGAAATCATTGTTTGGTTCATGATTCCCTTTTTTTTTTTCTTTTTAAACAACGTTTATAGATTCCATTGACTTTAAAAGATATATTATCTGAAAATAAACACACACACACAAGGGGGGAAAAAAACCAATGTAAGCATAATAACATAAAGTGTGGCCGAGAATTTTTCTGATGACAGATTAAGGACCATAATTTATACTACATCCATTTATTGCGTAACACATTTAAACATTCAGAATGTTTATGCTCCAGAGGAGTAAAAATTCTCGGACAAACAAAAGGAAGGATACAATCAGCGTAACCTTATTAGCTAAATGTAGGGGCAAACCTAATATCAATCACATAATGATAAAGGATTGCAGTGTTTACCTGATTGCAGCCAATGATTAAGAGGTTATAATATACAGGATGAAATATGCACGATTGAAACTTGTTCCCATTTGAATGCAATACTTGTATGCATTTTCCATCAGACGTGACGGACCACACACGTGCGCTATCTTCACTTACAGAAGCAAGATAGTTTCCTGTTACGTCCCAACAAATGGAAATAACATCTTTAACATGTCCCTAGAAGGAAATATGCAGTCAGTCATATGATTGAGTTGCAAAACGTGCGAAAATTATGTCTAAGGAAATGTGATAAAATATAAAAGGCGAGCTTGCCTTCAGCTTGTGTATGAGTTTGTCACCCTCGAGGTCAATTACATTAATAATATTTCCTGCAGCAGCAGCCAAAAAGTTGGCAATTCGAGGCTGGAATCTGACTTGTTTACTACCACCCTGCAGTTCATCATGATAAACAATTGATAAATGTGACTTCCTGCTATTATTATGCGTGATACGGTTGTCTAAACAGATGAATGAAATCTGACGTTCTCAAGAAAGAATTTCACAACTCAGCTATCGTTTTACTGTTCAGGCCCATGCTAAATTGCTCAGGAAACCAGGACATTTCTTGAGATATTTTCATCTTATGGTTAGTTTTAAAGAAAGGGTTAGCTATGAAAAGCAGGCTACAAAAAAAAAAGGAATCACAACTAATGATGCTTGTTGCTTTTGCAATCAACACGAGAAAAATATAGCTCTATTATTTGATTGTTGCTTTTGTCAAGATATTTAGAAAGATGTTCTCATGAGGTCTAGAATTTATAGCAGCCCTTATTGTTGGACTAGAGAGTGCTGGTTCAGATAAGTGGGAACGGGAAGAGTCTTCTGGCAGGGATCAGAAGAGTGGTACTTTCAGCAACTATCTACAGGATTTGGCGAGAGAGAAATAATACTATTTTTCAATAATTTGTTGTAAATAACTAGAGATTCAAAAGAAGATTAATTTATAATCTGAATTATAGATTAGCTAGCAGACATTCACAAAATCAATTGTACTTTAAATTACTATAATTAGTCATGCTCTCTTAGGTTGTTTGCAGGAGTGTTTGTGCATACCAGCTTATCTCTTCGGCAATAGAATCTTATTAACCAAAAAAAATTTATTAAAATTGCTAATAGGATTTAAGGCGCGATTTCTTCGTTAAATTCTGGTTATCATAAAATAAAGTAAAAAAATCATTTAGAAGTTCGGCAAAGTGAACTTCTTGAGTAAAACCTATCAAGGTCTAGCACTAATCAAGACATTTGCAGAGACTCGCAAATATAATAGTCAGTAAAAGCAACATGTGCATAAAAATAACCTAATTTCAGATTGAGAAAACCAACCTTATTTATCCGCACACAAACGCCTTGGGTGACATTCCATAATCGCATTATGCCATTGCTATCGCTTGAGCAAAGAAGGTCCACCTTTCTTGGGTGGAAGTCCAATGACATTACTTGTTCAGCATGCCCAGGAAGCTCAAACAATGATTTATTTGGCTATAAAATAAAACAGAAACATTAATCATATTGTCCAATTCTAAAATGATCTCACGCATTAAGTCAGCTGTTATATTGGTTCATATCAGTAAAATGCATGACTTGGAAAATTCATTTCTGAAGTCACAGAACAAAATGCTTAAGCAGAGAAAAACAAAACATAATCAAATATTCCAAAACTTAGACAACAACAGCAACAACAAACGACAGATATATAGTCAAAAAAGAGTTTTCATTGAAGTGTCCATAAGGTCAAATGCAGAGGAAAGAGAACGTGACAGGGGGGGACACAAGAAAACAGGGAAAGAGAAAGATACTTAAAACAGAACAAGAGGGGAAAGGAGGTAAAGTTCATCAATATTTTTAAAGAACATGAAATACTTATAGCGTGTGCGGAGAAAATACAACCAAGAGAACAAAGTGATATGTAACAGCTTACTTTGGCTGCATCCCATACTTTTACAGTTTTATCAGCAGAAGATGTTGCAAATATGGTTGAGCCTGGTCTGAACCGAATATCAGTAATGAGAAGCGAATGGGCATCTGAAGTACTAACACAATCAAAAGTTTCCATATTCCAAACGAAAACCTGTCATCAAAATTACAATCAGTTATGAACACACAACCAAGTCATAGACAATGGTTCAGAACTTATTAGCTAAACTGATTGAATCAAACTACCTTCTTCTCATGTCCAGCACTTGCTAAAACCTTCCCATCAGATGAAAAATGGCAGGATAAAACTTCGCTTTTGCTTGAGTGAAGACAACCAACCTCTTCAAATGAAAAACCTACCAGATTGAAAAAATGTGACAGGATAAACATTTATTCAAAATCATTACAACTTTTAACATTCAAGATTTCACCGCTCAAACATCAAATCAAAAAAAGAAAGCAAAGACAGCAACAGAATAATCTACAATTAGCACTAATAATTTGAATATGTATTTTTTGTGTTATATCCGTACCCTGAAAGCTCAATAGAAAAATAAAAAACAATTATCTCAGCACAACATTCAAAAAAATATATCAACAGTTATATCATACGTATATAGATATACTACCTTCCCTCATATCACATGCCGCAAAAATAAGTTTCAGATTCCTGGAAGGTCCAGATCTTTGATCAGCATGTTCATTCTCATCAGACAAAGGCACAATGTTTTTATCCACAGGTCTACCAACTGCTGCATTTATACAGTCCTATCATTTGTAAAACATGGAAAGAAGAATTATTAGAAGATAGCAATCCAATTAGAGTGTACACTTGTAATATCAGAATTTCAGCAACAATGGAAAATTGGCAATGCCTTTGGAGGTATTCATTGTGTAAAAATGGATTAAGTAACTCCTAAATTTTAATTTCAATTTCTTGTGCTCAAAATTTGGTTTACCATTCATGGTTATATCAAAACAAACAGAAAACTGAAGCTAGTTGATTTACCCTTATTTGATTATTATTCTTTAAAAGATGTCAAAAATGTCATTGTGTTTCCTCCCCCTTTACTAAGGAATTGAATCTTACGAGTTCGAACTAGCATCCAAAATTTGTTGTCAAGGAGGAAGGACTATGAATTACCCTCAAGTTCATGCTATTTCATGTCATTACAAGATTTTATCCCCACTTACATCACAATGGCAAATCATTTTTCAGAAGCCAATAAAAGAGGGAGATGCCTTCAGAAATATTGACCAATGAATATTTAAAGTCAATGATCCCTCTAACCTGCCTATCTTTGCATATTTCAGTTTCTACGAGGGGAATCCTTGGATCTTGGCTGTTGCATACGGAAGAGTTTTCAAGACATATGGATGCCTGAATCTTAGGTGTACATGCAAGTGCTTTCTGATTTTGTGTATCTAGCCCCTGAAATTGTTGCTGATAGTTTGGTGCTTGCAAAAGTGAAGTTAGTACCTGATCCAGTAGTCCCATACACGGGAGCTTTGGTCAACAATGAGATGATGCTAAATATGAACTTATACATTTCAAGAAACTGCTAAAAAAAAATTAATTCATTATGGGATTCTTCTTCAAACGGTTCCACAGTATATAGTCCAGCACCTACATTTAAAGGATATCCATTTAGCGGCACCAGATTGAGACCTTCAGTAGTTCCTGAAAAGATAATTAACCATTATTCCCATACTAATGTAAGATAATCCGTTGAAGGGGAAAAAGAAGCAAATTGGAGAAAAGGACTTCTGTACAAATACAGGAGTGTCTCTTCCAAAGAAGAAGCAAACTATCAATGAGGCATGCAGTAGAATATCATTATTTCTATCTTTCTAAACATATAAAGCAAGGTTTTTTTCTTCTCCCAAGAAGGGGGAGTAAATAAAGTTTAATATGTTTTCTGAACCCAGGTGCAAATCTGAAAAATTAGACTATGAAGAAGATGAGTTTTGCCAAGCACCGAGTCTCTCCAGACTCTGTGGTAAAAGGGGGAAATGCAATTCAAGAAAGACTTGTTTTGTGAGGTTCAGTTGAAGGCCAAATACCTCTTTGTACTTTACCCAGGGAGTCCATGGGTATATTGCCTCCTTGCTGAATGCCAATTCCACTATCCTGCAAGCATCAATAAATTAAATTCATTATGCAAAGTACTATTGTCGTGATATTTATTATGCTATCGCAATGCTGGTCAACTGAATCATACCTTCAACAATGGATTATGGGCCTGAATTCCAATGTCTAGTTGTGGGTGGCTATCACAGTAAACAGAATATTAAGTCATAAGGCTAAAAACAATGAAGTGTCTTTAATCATCATTCAGTAAATTCAATATAACACTAACGACAATGAATATGTGCTCCCATAAATCTATAAAACAAAATGAATTCCAGATCAAAGGTTTGAAATTTTTTATCAGTAAAACCAACAATATAGGATGAAGTAGAACAGCTCTACTGCTAGTGTCACTGATGATCAAAAGAACCTCATGGAAGTTCTTCTTGTCACTTTCAAAGGTTATACTCTAAATTAACTTATGGGCTTGAAAGTCATGGAGTAACAGCATGAGTGGGGTAACGAGAAACCCAAAAGGAAGTAATTTTTTTTTTTTTTTTTTTTGGGGGGGGGGTGTTGAAGAAACGTGACTGTTCTTTACTCTTCCAGAAACTTCAGTCTCTTTGCACTGATAAGTTGTAAATTTGGATTAGAATCTCCGGCTAGATATCCAAGATACTCTCTCTCATATTTCGGTGGTAACGCAAAGGTAGCCGGTTGCTCCATCATCTTGTTAATAGCGGGGTCAAGTTGAAGCAGCTGAGTTCTCTGCTTAGATAGCTGAGGGATTCTAGGAGGGAGATTTCTTCTTCCATTACTAGTATTCTGAAGTGCCTGAAAATTGAAATGTATGATTAGGACGTGCCATCTTGCAACTCAAGTTATGAACATCCGACAATGTACATAAAGTTACCACATTGCTAGAGGCTTCTGGCCCAATCTCCTGATGCTTCAGATGCCTAGAGGCATATATGTCATAGAACACAGACCACCATTCATGCAAGAATCCTTCTCGAGACTGAATCACTGAGCACAAAATTTTATGTTTATATCCATATAAACAATTTACGGCAAAAATTCCAAACCAGCTTAGCTGAAAATAAGTACTAGGCTCTCCGGAACGCAATGTATTTTTAACAGGGCAAGTCCGTGAATCGGTAAAATATGCCAAGAAGAATATTTGAAAGAAAAAACAAGGAAAGGAATTACTCCATCCGGACATATCAGATATCTCCTTAGCTTTGCAAGTTCTTTAATACAGAAGCAGAACAAAACCAACCAGAAAACCCCAGAATGTGAGTGCCGGTGTGTCTGTGTAACGTTGGGGCGAAGGAGAGAAGGCACACATACCAACAGGAGCATTCATAACATCCGACTCCGTTTGGAAAATTTCAGCGGTCTTATCCATTCCCCTTCTCTTCATATAATCCAGAATGTATAGTTGAAGCCTATAAAACGAAATCAGGCGCAACTTAAAATTAAGCAATTTGAACATAAGAACACAGAGAGCAGAGTCAGAGAGGAATAACCCATGAAAGCAAGTAAACGAAACGGCCTTATTTGAAGAAAGATACCCACATTTTGTCGGGGTCCCAATGAAGAGTGGAGGCCATGATCAGCAACCAGAGCAGGAAACGAAGAGCAGAGAAGCAATTGGTAGCTTGAAGAAGAACGAACGGTATCGGGAGAATCAGAAAAGGAAGTCGAATGGGGATTTTGAGATGAAACGTAAGAACTAAGAAGAAAGGAGAGCGAGAGTGAGCCAAGCGGCAAGTGACAGTGCCATGCAAAAGAATGCCTACATAAAGGGAACGAGCAAACAAAATCGGTTTAAGAAATTAAGAGAGGGGGAGAGAGAGAGATTGCAGAACAATAAATTGGCGTCTGCGCCGTTTGTGTGCAAACACTCACAATCAGAATCAAGATAATTAAATTAAAAGTTGATGATTTTTAGATAACCAATGTCTAGCCGAACCAATGGTTTCCGATTCATATTTTCTTTTTTCAGCCAATCATTTTTGTTCGATGTTGTTAATACCCCTATTTGGTATAAATTTACTTTTTAAAACGTCGGCCAAAAAAATTATTTTTTAAACACTCCACGACATTCACATGATATATATATATATATATATATAATATAAAACATTGGGATAATATAATATTTTTTTAACCTTCTTTATAAGTGATTTTCTCCAACATTATTAATGCCAATATAAAAAAAATGTAAAAAATAAAAGTGTATAAAATCTTAAATATACATGATAAATTTTAAAGTAATATTATTTTTTTCGTAAAGAGTAACTTTTAAAATATTTTTAAATATTTTAAAAAAAGTCACACCATAACTTATGAATAGGACCAAATAAATTTTTTAAAATGTAACTTATAAATGAGATCAGAGAAAACATAATTTTTTAAATTTTCTTTTAATTATCAATTTAATTCTTAAATTTGATTTGGTATAATGCAACTCAATTTTTGCATATTATTGAATTAAAAAATTATAGAAATTTAATTGTATCCCATAAAAAAATTATAAGAATTAAATTATCCTGAATTAAAAATTATAGTATATAAAAATTTAAATTTATATAAGCTTTTTCGTTGACACTCGGTTGGCTTGTAATGCTTCTTCAGAACGCAGATCCGTACGGTTAAGAGTGTACGGCATGAGCGCCATGTGTCTTTTGATTCTCATACTTTTGGCAGAAAGATTAAAAAAAAAAATTCAATCTCGTGTTAGCGTCCGTATGTACTATATAATATAAAAAATAAAAAATTGCATGCTATGAGTAGGACCATTTGACTAATTGACTAATGTTTGATTACCATGTCAGGACATCAGGTTATGTAAATTTATTAATTTTTTATTTCAAGAGTTTAATGATATTAATAACTGATTTTTTATTTTATTGGCAAATAAATATGCAAAAGCAAATGATTTAAATGTGAAAACTTGCTTAGTGAAGACTAAATTTTCCATGCAGTTAATTTCTTTGAAAGTACATTTCTCAAAATGTTTGCTTCCCCGGATATTTATAGTTGATTAATATTATGGATAAATATAAACTACCTTTTATATAAATATATTTTATTTGTAGGGTGAAAATGCAATTTTTGTTTCAAGAGCATGTTCTTCAATGAGTAATGTGTACTATTTCAAAACCAATGCAATATTACCAAATTTTAACAAAGACCCAGCTTTGATTTTAGCATAGGTTTACAAACTTTTTTTGAGTAACAAATGTGTAGCAGTCCAGTCATGTTTTATGTAGATAGACTTCTTTAAATTAAATTACTATATATATAAAAAGTAAGATTTAAATTCCCCATCACTTATTTAAATTATGAAAACTTTTATCACTCACATCCACTTTAATTATATATAATGTTTCATAACTTTTTAAAGAGAATTAAATTCAGAATTCAAATGAAAAACGTTTGGAAAAACTGGAAGCATCATTTAGAAGGGCCTTGCTGTGGTAAAGCAAGGGGTTTTAATCACGAGTTATAGTTGCTTAATGAGTTATAGATGTTAGAGGAAAAATGCTTACAAAAATACTTTATTTTTTAAACTTATGAGCAAAAATGTTTTCAAAAAAGTTTAAGATGTTAGACGTCTTGAAAAAAGAAATTAGAATATTTTTCCATTTAACCCTATGCAAAATGATTTTGTAGCTTGATAACATGCAAGTTTCTGTAAGTATGAGGTTTTGGGTCAATCATATACCTAAATTAACTTTAGGTTGTTAATGCTTGCCTCTTTAATTCAATTTAAAAAAAAAAAAGACTTGGTTAATCTAAGCTAATGTAAACTAGATACTAAGTTTCATACTAGAGTTATATTTTTTTATAGTATTATACTTTTTTTTTATAAAATGCATATTATTTTGTCATTGCAAGAGAATAAATTGAATTAAACGAAAGGGTGTTTTTATAAAACTATAAGAAAATATTGGAACATTGATGACAAATATTTAACTATACTAATTTTCTTAAGCCCTGCCTATTTCAATTTTTAGGAATAAATCATTTTTTTAAAAAATATATTTTATGAGATTTTATAAGGTTTGTTTAAACTTTTAAAAATAATCAGAATATAAGAAAAATAAATTTCTAATTATTTCGATAAATTATTTTAAGTAATATTTGAAAATAATCAATAGATGATAGAGAATATTAAAAATGTGTAGAAATACACGAAAAAGATCATAAAATTATAAAATAATTAATAATAAATTATTTTTATAAAACATAAATCTATTAAGATACTATAAAATTTATTGTAAACAAATATAAAATAATATGTACTTTTTATAAAATCTCTACAAAATAAATCTCTGTTTATAAAATTTTTAAACTATTTAAAACTTATTTATATTTTATTCTTAAACAAATTGGTAATATTTGTAAATTAATTGATTGACTCACATATTTAAAATCTGAGGGAGTGGCATTTTTATTTTTTAAGAAAAATGAGCTTTGCAGGAGGGAAAAAAATCAAGTAATGAATCTCTTAAGTGCATTAATTGCAGAGTTGAAATCAAGCTTACATTAATGACAAACCTTAGGAATTGGTTTCACAGGGAAGACGCACAACGAAACGCCAAACAGGAACCTCGACTAACACAATAATCGAAACTGAATGTTTTTAATACGGGAGTACTAGTATTACTGTTTGAAATTAATCCTAACAAACTTCTTTTTCTTTGAATGAAAACAACTAGTATTATTCGATATTATTGAATAATTCAAATCTAAGTTACTCCACTGTTTTCCAATATAGGAAAATTTCAACCATCTCTCACGGTTTTAAAAAAAATTAGGTAAGAATATTGGAAAATTATATTTGAAATTAAAATGTTTGAACTAAAATACCTTAAAATCAATATTTTCTTTTTCTCTCTAATTTAATAATGCTAACAAGACAATTTGAAAAAAAAATGTAATTAATGTTTCTTAAAATTTGTATTTTTGCTTATAGTAGGAAATAAAGAAACATAGGATAGTTTTTCTTATACTTCCACCAATCCAAAATATAAGGAATTTAAAAAAAAAAAATCTGCACACTGATAAACTCCTTATTCTCATAAAAATATACATTGTTTTCCTTTTTGACCTTTAGTTTAATTATCAATACACTTCATGATAAGTAAGAAATAACTTTGTACAAAAATCTACGATGATAAATACAAAAGATAATATGATTTTTGTATTTTTACATATATTAGAATGCTTATATTTTAAACCAAGATTAATTAAGAGAAGTTCAGTTTAAAAAAAACAAAACGAAGGTTGTACAATTTATGGTGTGAATCTGCAAGAGAAAATATTAGAATCAAAGGGATGGGAATCAAAGGAAGAATCCAATAATTAGAATACAAATATGTTCAAGCTATGTTCTCCAATTTATTAATGGTATGTTTAGAATGGAGATTTGAATTTGGATTAAATTTTTTATTTGAATAAACAAACTTTTTTCAAATCCAAATTCATTTCTTATTACATATTTTTTATAATTTCAAATTCTTCATATAATCTAATCATTTAAAATTTCAATCACTTTAATCACTTTGTTCTCTTCATATTTTTATTATTGATGTCTTTATAGTTTTTGTATCTTTTTTTTATCTCCCATCAATTGAAAAATAAAGATAAACTTATCACTTTTAATTTTTTATTTTCGTTTGAAATCTCAACACATTTCTTTTCTTCATTTAATTTTTTTTAAATAACCTAAACATATTTTGAGTACATAAATTCTAAATATAAGATTTAAAATGTAAAATTTTAAATATAAAATTTAAATCCAAATCTACAAATCTAAATGCCTCCTAAAGGATTTCTTAATGTAGTTCCGCTGCAGCACATATCTGTTTTTGTGACTTGTCAAGCTCAATGGGCTAAGCTCAACTAATTAAAAAAAAAAAAAAAAGGGAGACTTATATACAAATCTCACTCAGCATAATTAATTACTCCCATGTCTATTGAAAACTAAGTTAAAAAGAATGACAACATATGATGTGGAAGTAATTCTCCCAAAAAGATACTCTCTCTTTCTCTCTCCCAAAAAATATATATAAACACATGTTTGATCATTCTGTGAAGAGAATTTTTTTATTAAAATCTGATGAAGAGTGTTCATCGTGGTTCCCCTGTGAAGAAAACAGTCATGGATAAAGTTTGAGGATACAACGAATGTGAAAAGAAAAAAGAAATCCCAAGTAAAACAAGAAGGAAGACCTAGTTGATTGGGAGAGATTCAGATGCTGCTTCAGCTAGCTTGACTTTCTCATGCAATGCTGCTGCAAGATTTGCTGTCTGGTCAGTTCATTTCGTGAATTGAATCAATTCAGCAGAAACCCCTTCCCACGAACATGTCTCCATGAAATGCCCTTCAACTCATATAAGTCTTCCAACCTCCAAATATGACCTCTTTTCCATTGCAATATTATATGGAAACACTTATTTGTCCTTTCTGCTTGTTTCCAGATGATCACTTTGCGCCAAGCCCATCTCATGCATTTGGTGTTCAACAGAAACTAAACCAGTTTCTGCAAGAAACCTGCACGGAAAATGTATCAATCAACTTCGTCAAGACCATAATGATAAAAAGTGGATCTCTCTCTCTCTTTCCCCCCCCTCTCTCTCATACACAGACACCGATATATACACTTCACCAGTAAAAAGAAGTTCATCACATAGTATGACTTGCAACATACGTAGGTGCAGGTTTGGAGCTTGGGAATTGGAATGCATAAGCTGATGCGAAGGATAGGAAAACAGAAAGAAACAAGAAGAGAGAACAATAGAGAGGGAGGAAGGGAGGGACAGGATTTCTGAATGTACTCAAGAATTCATTAAGCATAGCCTTCGGAAATACAATAGAATCCCTTATATAGGTGTTTATTCTAAGTCAACTAATTCTAGTTAACCCAACGGCTAATTCACTTAACTAATTACAAATTACATATCATAAACATGACTGCATGTTAAGACCAGACAGCATTTGAAACTCATCAGGGGATGCAATTCAAGATTCAGATCTTCCAAGTCAATAAATTTCTCAAAATACTTGGTCGAGACTTAAAAAACAGTTAAATTTATAATAATCAACTATCAATTCCATGACAACTAAATGATAGCTTATGTTAAGTTAGCCCCCCAAACAGGTTTACTAAAAATATTTATGCTATTATTAACACAAAGATTGATCAGCAAAATCAAAATCAACAGCCATTACACTAATCCCAGGTTCATATGGATTAGTGCATTCTATTTCTGTACAAAAGTTTTAACTAGATGAATAAGAAACATCCACAGACAAATAAACTGTGGGAATGAAAATTAAGGTAGATGAAATTTAGCTGAGTCGAAATTTCAAACAGGATGGATATGACAACAAATGAGACCATCACGCTCCCTAATGTCCAGGTTCGTGCTTCATATGAATTTTTCATAATAAAGTAAGAAGCCTGAAACAAAATTTGCTATCATAATTTCAACATCTCTTATAAATGCATCACCAACCATGGCTATAGTTCTAGGAATCAGCCAAATTCACCAATAGCAAAGCACCATAATGGTATTTATCAAATTACTTTTCCCTTGGATATCCTGGCCTTCATACTATTCTCACTCCCCCACTCCACCAGCATAAGTGCATAAACAAATTACCACCAACAACATGTATGAATCTCAAAATATTTGAACAAGCCCAGCAGAAGTTATCAGTTCTATTTGTTTGTAATTGGCCTAATTTCAGACAATGCTAAAAGGTCCAAGCAGTATTCACCAATGTCTGGCAATCAAAGAGATAGCAATAGATGTGTTAAAAGAAAATGTAATTCAAGATGATGCATTTTTATAAGAGCTAAAATCCCAGGTTCAGTATATATCAGACACAACAAGGAGAATCATGTTCAAATAGATTTGTTGGTTTTCAGATAAGGATCAGAGAACCATACCAGCGAAGAAGTAAGAAGAGGGTAACGCAGATTAAAAACAGGAACGCAACATGAAGCACCAAGGACGAATCACTGGAAGAGAATGCTAAGCCCAGCATCACAACAAGACAAAGACCCAGCATTAAAAAAGTTGACTTTAATGCAATCCATGTAGGACCCTGAAGCAAGGATAGGGAAAACATCAAAAACCCCTCACAAATTCAAAAGAACAAACATAATCGGTATAACAAAGTTACAGACAGGCAAAAGAGTTGACTCATCATAACGAGGTCAAATGAAAGTACGAACGTTTACACCAGGAGCTAGAGCTCCAAGGAGAACTGCTTTCGCGGACGAAACATCCACAGTATCTGATTCTGCACTGCCCATCTAGCAAAACATAGATCGGGAATTGCGAGCACTCACCAGACAAAGACTCCGGAGACGGAATGGGGTTTCCGTTTCTTTTTCTTTTGTTTTTTTTTTTAAACAAGTTTTTTTCAAAGGAAAAAAAAATCATTTTTATCGTTGCTTTAAAAATCTTTTAAGGATATGTTTTTTTATTTTTTGTTTTTTAACCTTGGTGCAGGCTCTAGAGCTTATGGGTGATAAGTAATAGGCCACAAGGTACATGGCTGCAGCAATGGCCCATGAAATCGGAAAATTATAAGGTTTACGCCATTCGCCAGAGAATTTTTCATTCATTGATTGATTTATCCATTAAGATTTTATGACAGGAAAAAAACGTTTTATTTTTCATCAAATATGTTGTTATCTCAATCAGTTATTCTTTCATGTTAACAGCGGGAAAGAATTTATGGGCAGATTTTTTTTTTATGTAGACTTAAGAGCCGTTTATTTAAGATTAAAAAGTAAATAATTTTTAAAAAAAATTAATCATTCAGTCATATAATTTTAACTCAGTAGTAATTCAGTTATTAATGTTTTAACTCGATTGTAATGCATTCCATGAATTTTATTTCTTATAATTTAGTTTCCACAATTTCAATCATTTAAATATTAGTCTCTATATTTTAAAAAATAAAATTATAAAAATTAAAAATATTTTAAAATTTAATAGTTATAACATTTATAATAATTATAAACATTATAAGGGTTTAACAATTAAAAATATTAGTAATAAATTTTAACATAATTTTAATCTTCATAATTTTATTACTAATATCATAAATATTAAAATTTAAAAATATATAATTTTAATATTTTAATCTTTAAATATTATAAATATTATAAGTTGAAAATATTTTTAATCTTTATAATTTTATTTCTTAAAATATAGTTATTAATATTTCAATAGTTAAAACTATAGAACTAAATTATAAGAAATAAAGTTTAGAAACTAAATTATAATTAAGTTAAAACTATAAGGAATGAATTAAAATAAATTAAAATTTAAAAATTAAGTTGTAATTTGGTCAAAACTATAGGAGCCAAAAGATTAATTTTTCCTAATTTTTATATAGTTTAAATATTTCATAAAAAAATTATTTTGTACAATTTTTATTAAAAAAACAGATATTATGTTATCGTCAATTAAAATAATAAAAATTAATTATTATTATTTATTATGTGTTTTAGATTTCATGAATATCTATCTATTAAAATAATTTATTATTTAATTATTTTAAAATTTTGTAATATCTTCGTGTATCTCTACATTTTTATAAATATATTTATACAATTTTATAAAATATATTTTTTTTTTACAAAAAGTAATTTTTTCATGAAAGGACTTAAATAAACATGCGCCTAATAATTAATATATTTTCCATCTTATGCATGAAAAAATTCCAAGGCATTCTGTATTTTTCCCAATAAAATGATTTCAAAATTCAAATCACACATAAAGGACTGACATAAAAAATATGCATTCAATGGTAGTACTTTATTTCTCATACAATGTCTCTCTTTGCCAATTATAGATTTTATTAGGATTTGGACCCATTATTTGTGATTTATCCTTCTTTCATTTATCAACGTATCTTTTTTCCTTGCTAGACAATGCATCACCTGTATGAAAGAAAAACTAAAGGTGTTAAAAAGTAAAATTTTTGGTAAAAGAAAATTAGAAGGTAAAATTGGAAAATCATGCACTAAGTTTACAAATATTTAATCTAAATAAATTTTTAAACTTAGAAATAAGTTGGGCGGAGACTTCTAAAAAGGACGACAAACAAATAAACAAACGAATCAAAAAACAAAAAAGAAAAGAAAAGAAAGATACCCTGCACCATGTATACCTTGAGCTTGCTTGTGAAAACAATGTTCACTTCTATGGCTACGTGATTACTATTCAGTGAGAATGTACATAAACAAGAAACGAAGGCTAAAATGGAGGTTCTCCCGCATTTTCTCGACACTGAAACATCTACGTACATTACAGTTTGATGTTCTTTGATGTTGAAGTAAAGGCAAAGTAAGGCTTACAGTCTTCAAATGATCAAACTAAAAGCAAAAAAAACTCCCATGAGGAGATTTTTAATTTCCCATGAACGTAGGCTCTCTGAAGGTAGGATCTCGCTGGAGCCGCCATTCCTTCTCCTTAAGGTACTCTATCAGAGGCTGAGGCTCATTTCTCACGGCACCACACCCATAAGGACTTCCTCTTTGGAAATTGTTAAAGCCACTATTTATCTGTTCACCTTGTTGCCCCATAGCAGAAGCAAAACCTGGCAGCAATGTTGATGGTGGCGCTGGGGGCTCCATGTATGTGTACTGTTTAGGCAATAAAGGATTTTCCCATCTATCAAATTGAGCGAACATGTGAGGGTCATGATAGAGGAAGTTCTCAGGATTTCTGGAGACATTATAGTAGGTAGGCTGCATCAGATTATTGGCCCTCTCATGAGTACAGTTCTCTCTATACCAACGCAACCATTCTGAAGATGTCATTCTGCGAGTCGGTGCATATCCGTTTGTGAAAGCTGGATAAGAAGGATCATAACCAACTGGTCCATAAGTTGAACTCAAATCGGCGTAGCCACTAATGGGTGGTGATGGGATATTTGGCATCAGTGGAGTAGACACAGTGGATTGTACGTCTGCAAACCAAGTAGCATTTTCCGGCAGTAATGGAGCAGAAGGCACCGGATTAGAATACGTAACTGAAGAGGGAAGGAAGTTTGGAGACTGATTGGATGAAGTTATGGTGGAGGAATCCTTGGATCTATTAATGGAAAGACCAGCCATGGATGTAGATGTTATTTCCTCAATAGGCTCTAACCTATGCTCACTAATACCATTTGTCCCCTTGTCTCTATTGTTGCTAAAGCTTCCTCTATCTAGGACCCAAGCATTGAGGGAGGGAGGACCAGCAGATATAGAGCCTCGAGGAGAGGTGTGGGGACTTGATTCCCTCATTGAAGGTTCTGCCTGTGTGAATGATTTGTTACTCCTAAAGTTATCAAAATCAGCATGAAATCCCATGGGATTACTCAGAGTTTGGTTTTGAGCCATGAGTAGTGATGTAGCACGGCGCAAACAATCATCAGAATGAAGGCTTTGATCATCACTGTCCTTTGGTGATGTCTGATCATTTGTAGGGATAGAAGGGTATGAGGGTGCTGAATTATATCTTGTGAGGGGCCTGAAGAGTATAACTTCTTCTTCCTCCACTGCAGCTGATTTCCCATTGACAATGCAATTACTTGGCTCATTCCCTGTCATGGGTTTGTCACGTACCCCCTCATCTTTGTAATTTTGCTGATCAGACTCTTTTTTACTAGTGTAACCAGACTCCACATTTCCTGTAACTTTCTTTTCATCACTATCATCTAATCTATCCTCATAAAACTTTGTTCCTAATTCATCACATAAGATCCTTGTCTGCAAGTCACTCGAACTTCCTGTAATTTTCATTGCCGCATGTTTTATGCGCAGAGTACGTAGCTCAATGCCACTTCCTGAATTGTCTATGTGCTCCCAATTACCAGAGAAATCTAATGAGACATGCACGCATGCTACAGGAGAAAAGCCCCTCAACTCATAATCTTCCCATAGAGGGGTATTATCTAGAAGTTTCTTGGTCTCCCTTCCCTGGGTGCCAAGTTGGTTTACAAGGTCAATAAGCACTCCAAAAAAGTAAGACATTGCACCCTTGCTCTTTTGGTCAGATGCATATACTTCTAGTGAATCACGCATGCTTGCAATCCATTCAACAAAAACAAGTACGGATGGCAGTAAGGGACAAGAATGCAACGGACTAGACTTTAGGCATCTTTCAACAAAACGTCCCATGAAACTGAATGTAGCACATAATGCCAACTGTATCAGCACAGGGGACTGTCTTTCATCTTTGTGGTTTGGCTCATTCTTTACCAGGGGTTCAACGAGATGCTTTAAGACGAAGATGAGTACTGTAACAACTTGTATGGCTCGAAAAGGGCCTCTTCTAGCTAAATTTACTTGCTCATAGGACTCTAACATGGTCTTTAGTTCTGTATCTTCTAGCTCCAACAGTCTATCCAACTCTCTGATTGTAGAAGCCAAAACAATTGGGAATTCCTCCAAACTGTTCAAATATTAAGAGTGCATAAAGTAAGGCAACTAAAAACCTTACACAACAAATTTTTTCATTGACTCTCATCACAATTATTTCTAAACTACAGGTAGTATCTGAAAATACCATAATTAATATGCATGACTTAAATTGACAACAAAGTGGTGAAATTTAAGTAAAATGACAGGCATAATGCCAAGAAAACTCACAGACAAAATAAATTGAATCCAAGATGTACCTTGATTTTATGAAGAAGAAACCTATTGTTCTGACTATAAGTGACCACAACTTTGTGTCTGCAAAGTGATTACTCTGGCCTTTGAACATGTTAGTTGAGCTATCACATTTTGGTCGTGCTTTGGTCTGATCACTACTTCCAAAGGATTTTGAGAAATCCATGCTGGCCTCACTGGAAACGTAAGGCAGATGAAATGACCTGTTCTGCAAAATTGAAAGAGGCACTTGAGGAGGTTGCGTAGGAGCCTAACCATATATGGATGGACAAAGTTCATTAAGAGCCTCAAGGTCATCTTACCTTTTCAAACAATAAACTAAGATTGTTCCAGGCATCAGGAAAAGGTTCCTTAACAGCTAAACTCCTGATGCAGTGGTAAAGAGCAAGAAATTCATCACCAATATATGTTGCCAACACAGCCAACTGCAAATGAAGAGAGTTACTAGTACATGAACAGAATAGAAAACAAAAAAGCTAATTATAACAGATTCAAATGTACTATATAATGGATTATGACATAAGAGTACCTGATTGTGAGGATTTCCACTATCTGGCCAAATCCTAGCTGCTTCCAAATAGTGGGTAGCAGCAACCGACCAGTTATGAGTATGAATATCAGGATTTTCACATTGTTGTTCATACCTAGCAAGATCCCCCATACAAACTAAGCAACGATGACACAAATATTGGCATTTCAGCATTGCATCCGGTTCAACCGAACTAGAGATGCAACCATTCTTATAAAACAAGGCATCTTCAGAGACTCCATAGTTTTCTCTGAGTTTTACAATCAGACTTTGGTAAAACTCAACTGCCTCGGACAGAAATGACTTAAATGCATTTAGATGAATATCGATGTTCCTCAGCACTGAATCATTTTGCGGTGCTCCTGATTTTGTGTTATCTGCATTACCAGATCCTCTCTTTATCCTTTTGCGAAATTCATCAATATGCTTGTAGTGAAGCTTCCACAAAGAATACTCAGCATCTTGGAGTTCAGAAAGCGTGTGATTGCTCAAGATTGTTCTCTCATAACCAGAACGGACTTTCTTGTACAAGTCTTGGGTATCAATGTGCAATAGGCCTTTAGAGTGAATCAATGCCCACAATTGCTTTTCAGAATCACCAATCTGCTCATATCATAATTTCAAAGTCCAGAGTATTGAAAAGGACATTTTATAGAACTAAATCACAAGTTCAGAACGGAGAATAGAACTTTCAGAAAGTACCTCCAAGAGAATCTGTTTTCCAGAAGGAATAGTTGTAGTAGTAGTCATAGTCCTTCACAATTGGTGCATATTATTGACACAAATCCAGTAACTGGCCTATTTTGTCGGTGCAGTTCTTAATACTGACAAGAAGAAAAAACCATAAAACTTGAATGTAAAACTGTGGTGGCAGGAAGAAAGGTTTGACTCACATAAGTGCAAGTCAAAAACCATGAAATCTGTCAAGGGAATACAATTGTAAAAGACTCCGCAGCTACCACGGAACTCAGTTTGGAATAACTGAACATTCGCAGAAGATAAAAAAACAATTTCGATTCAACAATCTAAGCGATTATTGTTACTAGTTTCGCAACCATATCTAGCATCATACAAATCCAGAATCAACATAAACAAGTAAAGGTGCTGAATTATATGCCTTGAAGTTCCATCTAAGTTTAGTTTGCGTGAGTTCTGTAGACTTTGTATATATCTCTCCTCTACCTTATCTGACAACCCTTGACAAGATACTAACACCATAACTGCTAACAAAATTTAAGAGGGCGAGAATCTCTATGTAATCACAGAGAAGGTGATAATTTGATCAGAATTTGAGAACGTAGGTGACCATAATTCAGGGAAAATACATTCACGGAAACGTGCTCCTGACTTACAACAAGAACAGAAGTGAACAATTTGAGAACATTGATGACCATCATCGCCGTCATCATGAAAGAAGATGGATTCACCTGTACAGGATTATGTTTGAGAAAAGGAAACAGACAGGTAGAGTAGAGGAATCAGGTGGATAAGAGGTTTCAGATAACAACTGAGATATGCTTACCTGAGACTCACAAATCAGAGTCGAAGTTGTTAAAATTTGACGGCCAGCACAACGAACACCAAAACTGAGGAGAGCCCACGATAAGAAAGGAAGATAACGGCCTGAAGCAGAAAATTTTCCCCTGATCAAAAGGTCAAAAAGAAACGGAATAACTCCAAAAAAGTGAAATGAAAAAAGAAGGAAAAAAAAAAAAGGAGCATGAGGAAAAAGATGACCTAATCAAGAGGATAACAAACTCGAATTAACAATTCCCAAGCATGCAACCTTTGAGCGAGAAGCTGTGCCCAGATTATTCAATTAGAAGCCTACACACAAGCAGCTAAAGATGCCCAGAGAGAGAGAGAGAGAGAGAAGCGAGGAACGAGAGGTGAAAGAAGAATAAGACCACATATACTGTTCCAGTTGTGAAACGGACAAAGCAAAGGGTGGGCTGATGATGAGATTCCTGAATTCAATACAACTATATATCTGCAGTCTTCAACCAATTCCCTTCGTTTTCTTTGGTCTCTTTTCCATTAATCTGAGTTGTATATATATATATATATATATCCTAGTAGATAATTTTCATGGAGTAAAGCAGCTCAGTTTAATTTCAAAGGATCACATTCTCGATTCCCTTAAAACTTTGTTCTTTAAGGTCTAAATTTCTTATTGAGTTGGATCCAAACCGTAAAAAGCGTATACTTTGTTGCTGTGACTCGGTGGCTTTGATTATCCGCGTAGGACATATTTAAAATATTGCTGGAAATGGAGAACGATTAGATGGGAGTGCCTTATTATGATAATCTGTGTTCGACTCCTAACTATTAAGCTTGTAAAACAAGGCATAGGCAATCCTTTTCATGGGGACCTATCAGTACCTTATGAAGGGACACTAATTAATGACTCATCGCCATCTTTGCATGAGTATGACCATTCTTTTTCTTCTATAATCAAACCTCTCGTTTATGCAATAACTACTCTATGTACACGTAACACGTCCCTTCACAATTAATTTTACTTATAAAATTCTTGTTCAACAAAGTAAACTATACGAACTGAATTAATATACACCGTACATAATGTTTTTTTCTGGAAAATAGATTTCTATAAGTGTGATTTCCGTGAATTATCTAAAAGACCACGATGGGTTATGTGAATTAGAAGCATGTTCTTCATAATTTCGGTTTCCCATATAACACATTAACCCAAAATGATTTTCTTTTTTAAAAAAATAAGTACAGTGATCTAACTCATCATCCATCCATCACCCTATAACTGATTAATTCTTATTATTTAGGTCCAACCCATTTTCCCAATACTTAGCATGAATCATCTCCTAATTAATTAGTTGGGTCTTTTTTTCTAACACAAGGCCATGAAAAGCCATGCAAGAAAAAGTAATTAATCAATTGATGTCTAAAGTTATAAGTCTTTTATAATTCTAAGAGTAGTTGGCCAACAAAAATCTCAACATCTAAATTATTGTTAGTTGCTTGCTAAGTGAGTCAGCCCATACATATTTATTTACTTCTCTAAAAATATAATCAAAAGTTACATTCAGTATGATCTTTCATATCAAGGTCGCTTTAAAATTTTCAACAACAACTTAAACTTTTATAAGTATGTTAATTCTTTTTAAAATGTTTTATTAATATAGTGATAATTTTTCTATATGAGATGGCAATTTGTTTGCAAGATAAGGAGCTAAAAATCGTGCGATGTGGAAAAAGCTAATCGTACATGTGTCTGCAGTGTTGTGGAAGGTGGGGGTCGCTAGAAGGTCGTGGTTGGAATAATGAGAGCATGTGAAATATTTGAAACCTCCGCGAAACTTCCAAAAGCTTTATATATATAGATATAGATATATATATATATATATATATATAATATTAATACAGATTTGAATCCCCACTTCTTTTGTCCCTTTTACGATGCTACAATCATATTTTTTTATCATCTTGTTTTTATTTGGGGAGTTATAATCATAAATCATAACTGGCACCATCTTAATTACTACTCCTCACTCATCACTTGTCATTATGGTCGTATGATTCTAACAATCTAGAATGCCATTAAGTCCTAAAATTTACAAACCCAGATTAACAACAATATTGCACGCTGTACTTTTTCGCCCTGAATCTGCACGCCAGATTTTGTAATCATATATATGGACTTACCCATATGATGATCAAAGAGAGTGAATATTAACTAACTGGTTTGGTTTAGTGAAAGAGATTAACACCACACATGATAAATTAAAGTTTAAATTTTTTTAAAAAAATATTTATATTTAATATACGATTGTATATCAAATTGAATTATCTCTGATAAGAACTACATTGATATTAGAGGATAATTATTATCACTCTTTTTAATATCATACTATAAGCTAATCTAAATGATAAAAACATAAAATAAAAAAAATCAGCTGAGTAGCTCAGCAATAACAATTTGTTCCTTAAAGATACGTGACATAAACGTAAATGAGAAACAAAAATAGTGTCTTTAGTTCTTCACACTGAGGATAATAATAATAAATAGTAGAAGTCAACCTTCATGGTACCATTTTTCTATGAATTATCCAAACTGACACATCTAAATTGCGAAGGTTAATTTATTTGGATGACTCGCACTTTCAATAAAATTGGAATTGGTAAATTTTTACAAAATTCTTTTTTTGTATTTGTGCTCATTTTATTTTATTTTATAAAATATAGAATCTTTTCTCTTTTTCTTGAAACATAAAACTTTACAGAAATTTATCAACCTCAACTTTAGATGTCAAGAGATACGCTCAAAGCAAAAGAAGCGAACAAATTCGTGATTGATGTAATTAAGTTAATAAAAATTGCATTACGCTTTTTCTACTAATGATTTAAGTTTTGAGCGTGATTGTAATTTGTAAATATCCTTTCTAAAAAAACAAAAAATCACTGTGATGATAAGATTTTGATGATTTGAAGTTGTTTTTGGCACGTCAAGCACATCTTTTTATCAACAATAAAAGAAAAATAAAAAATAGTTAATTTCTTCGGAGATACTTAAGTTAAGACTAAAGGATGCATGTTGGGGGGGCCCACGGGAAGACCATAATTCAGTTTTATGTCTGCGTTCAGCGCATGAGTTCGGGCTTGGCGAAGATTTAGTATTAAAATGGGAGCAAGTTGATGTTGGAAATATATATATATATATATATATATATATGATCTTGTGAATTTTAGGAGTTGAAGTAATATAATGATCTTGTGAATCTTAGGAGTTGAAGTAATTATGATTCATTATTGAGTTAGGTCAAATTCCATTTTAATTTGCTTATTTTCCCACATCTTCCTCTTATTTTTTTAAATTTGTTTTTAAAATCAAATTTTAACCTTTTTTAAAATTTTAACACCTTTACAGAAACCTTGATCAACATTAATTAACTTAACTTGTTCCCACCACATTAATTAAGTTAATTAATTTAACTACCTAAACTTATATTTTTACCACTTAGAAATTAAGACTAGTATTTTTTTTTTTGGAAAATATGTATATGCTTAGCTTTATATATTTAAGGTGTTTGTTTTTAATTAAATTAGAACATGTGTATCTATAATAAATTATTTATTCTATAACAAATTATTATTAATATTATTAATATATTAAAATTTGTATATCTTAATTTGATTGGATGAAAGTAAATTAAGTATATAAGCCTTGTCTATTATTTTTTATGGCTTTTAGGTTTTGTGAATGGATTATTAAAAAAATCTACTCGAACATATATTTTGTGGAGAAACTAAGTTCTCTCGAAGGATGATTAACAAAGTTCTATTATAAAAAATCAAACCAAGAATAACAATCCCAGTATAATTCTCACATTAACAAAGTTCCTGCTATCAACATTTTATTATTATCGATGCAAAAAGTCTTTCTTACCGTGGTAATTTATTGAATCTATTCAAGCCTATATACCTACCAGTGGTTGAAGCTAGTATAAATGTGATAGATAATTACTTAGGGGAAAAAAGGATGAAGAGGAGAGAGGAACAAATAAAAATGTCAATTTGTCAAGTAGGATATATCATGGCCTACGCCGTAGTAATTGGGTGAGACATTTCTTGTCTTCTATAAGGCCTAAATTTCAAAGCTCACTATTAAGGATGGCCATTTAGTAGGTCCCACTTCCCACGCATTCTTCATTACTGGACGCATGAAAAATAATTTTATCTAAAATACAAATATTAAATATAAATATATTTTATAATAAAAATTTAAATCTTGATTTCCACTCTTATTTGCTTATATATGTGTGGGAGGTGATTTGGCTAATCAAATATTCTCTGCCTCTTAAATTATAAAATATTTTTAAATAAAATTATATATATCAATAAAGCTTATTATTAAAAATACTTTATAATTTTTTTAAAATAAAAATATAAATTTTTAAAAATACTCTTTATTTAATGCTTAATTTTTAAAAAAATTAAAAAAGAAAATATAATGAAAAAGATAATATTAAAAAAATATTATTAATGAAATTTTATTTTTATTAAAATATTTTATATTTTGAGACATTAAATTTTCTTTAAAAGTATTTTATAATTTAAAATAAAAGAAGTATTAAATAATATTATTATATTAAGTTGGGTGTTGCTTCTCCAAAATTTTCAAATACAACAATGATGTGTGATATTAGGAGGAGTAGCAACTGGAGCGAAAATATGATGATGAGTGTATCTCATTATGAACTTTTAGTTTTTGTGGAAGCTGCATTTGCCTGTCATTGCTAAATTAACTACTTTCACAAGCATGATGTAACGGTGAGGCTTCTCATCTTCTAGATGACAATGCCATTTTGTTTCGTTTCGATTTTTTTTTTTTTAAGTTTTGCTTGTACGTTCATTATGATTGATGATGAATCAGCGTTCCCGTGTACCTTCATCACAAAGTATTTAATTTACGTCAATATTTATAGATTTATTTTTTTAAAAAACTTATGACAAAACATACGTTTGACTCTACGTACACTTTGGATTTATAATAATTATTTGAGTAAATCCGTTGGACGGAAAAAGTAACTAATACTTGTCAATTTGTTCCATTTATATTATTGATATTTTATCTTGGAAATCTGGTCAGCAGAGAAGGTTCTTCAGAAGCAGATTTAAGCTTTAGATCCGCGGCCAAGAAGGGGGGAAAACAAAGAAGAATTAATATATAATTTATGAATTTTAAAATAAATACTGACTCCCATAATTTTTTCCACAAAGGAAAACCAACTTCGAGAGCATGCAATGAAGTGACGCGACCATAATTGGAGGAAGTGGTAGTTCAAAAAGCTTGACAAATTAAGTCGACGATCCACAATATAATTAATGTTTCGATTAATTAATATGATGAATCATTATTTGATAATGCTCTTCCACTCACCAATTTAAATACGACTTCTTAATGCAAAATATAAAGTAGTAGTATCGTTGCATTCAATTTGTATGCTCTCCGTTATGTTGTGCTATAAAGTCATTTATTGAATTGAAAGGGGGGAAAGAAGGGAAAATAA